AACTGTTATCAATGACTGTAGTGTGCGATACAGTGAACTGATATTGCAATGACACCTAAATCTTTAACAATTCTTCGCGAACATCATGTCAAGAACTCGAAAATTGTCCTCTGTCATGATCCAAAAAGAAAAGGAGTTCATTTAACATTATATAGTCGCCTTATTTCCGGTACTTCCCTAGTTTGAAATCTATATAATTAAGGGTTTTTGAATGCAGCTCCCCTTCTGTTTCAACAGTAGTTTGGACCAATTCGGATTTTCACCTTTTCGACCCCTTAGCATCGCTGATGAGTCATATGAGGACGAAACAGCTGTATGATGCAATGTAACTAATATTTGACATACCGTATCTATTACCATGCAAATGTTTAAAGGTACAATCAACTGTGTGTACATGTGTTGCGTTGATCTTTCCCAGCACACCCACGATAAAGTTAGAATCGTTCGAAGTCGCTTAGAGCTAGGCAGATTCGAAGTAGCTTAGAGCTAGACAGATCCTGGCGTAAGAACACAAGCCTCAAGAATCAGGGAAACGTGGATTTGCCGGCAACGCTTTGGCACTGCTAGGGACAATCTAGTGTCTCCAATTGTGGTCAATTTGTCTATGGAAAAATCTGGAGAAAGAAACAATTGCTAGCAACGTCAAACAGTTAACATGTTGGCGACATTTTAATTATCAAGATTACAGATGATCAAGAAAGGTTTCAAAAGTATTTGACCGCTAATACGGACATCGTAGGTTTCTACAAAAAGCATGGAATTACTGTAACACGTGAGACAGAAATCAACGGCGAGATGCCCTTAGGCCTTGGTACCTTACAGGTACAGGAAGATTATGGAACTGTGAATGTATCGGTCTAAGCTTGTAGGAAAAAGACGCACATGGACCAATAGCTGAAACCTTATATATTTATAGATAAATATCCACAACCCCATTTGTATCCTTCGTTAATCTAATGAACTGTATCTATGTCATTGCCAATTATATTAAATTCATTAAGTTTATATTAAAGAATTATTTAGAATTTTAAGATAGTTCTATAGGATGCAGTTAAATAGTATCGGCCCAGACTAAGCTTGAAACATTCTTATCAATATTTTAGCACAAATATTCAAAACTTTCTCAGATTTGGTGGCATTTAGGTATATACAACTTGTTTGATATCTACCCTTTTTAACTTTCTATTGTAGAATAGTGAAATGTTGTCGAAAATCAGTAGGACCCGACGTCCTTAAGGATCCCTGTCCCATTGCAGACAAAACACTAGAGATTCCACAGTTTACAATGCTTAGTCACAGTTTTTGGCAGTGGTACGGAGTTCCTTAAGAATTAATGTGATACAACTACAGGTATCACTGCAGCTTCGTCAGAACATGTCGGTCGTCAGACTTGTGTGGACGCTTGGTACCCGATCCTGCCATCTATATAAGTTTGGGAGGATATTTTGCTTTTTAAACATAATACCTATTACTATCTAACAGTAAATTACGACTCAGAGATTGACAGACAAATACTGTATCGTCCCACCGCTTATACTCCCAAACTATATCTCGACAAATGGTGGCAGAATAACGAGGTTTACATACATTTACAGCAAACTGACAACAAAGAATTTATGGTGTTGAAAGATATTTTTATATGAAAATAACGGAGGGAAAAGACTGAAAAAAGTGTTATCATGATAATAAGTCGATATGAACCTACTTTTGTTGTACATCATGTGCGGGACCCAGTTGTATACAAATAATTTATTTTCTTAAACTTTTACGGTCATGGTATCCTTGTGACAAGTTCAGGAAAAGGATTTTTTATGACCAGTTTTTTGTTGGTTTGTTTCACATACGGTATATACTGTAAAAGTAGAAATTATTGCGGTGTGTATATAGATGCTCTCGCATCTCAGAACCAATTACAGTTGTGGGATCGCACAACGTTACACGATGTACAAGTACAGTACCAGGCAGTAGAACCCCATTTATTATTGACAGTTTTACAGTCACATTAATAATGTGAAACGTGCATCGAAGAAATAGATAAAGTACAAAAAATATACCAATCGGATATTCCACACGTATACGATGTACCATATTTCACTGGAGCCTTCCGGATTTTTGTTTTGATTTCGTAACATCTGTTATCTCAAAGTTGTGCGCACTATGTGCGGCGGACTATGTACATGTGCGCACGGTAATCTTGGTGCGTATAGTGCCATCACACAACTGTACCAATGCGGAAATACACATCGTGATCTGCTTAAAGGTTCACAACACGAATATTTCCAAACGTAAAAATTTCCACTTTTTTCAGTCTTTTCCCTCCGTTATTTTCATATAAATAAATCAGTCAACACCATAAATTCTTTGTTGTCAGTTTGCTGTAAATGTATGTAAAACCTCGTTATACTGCCACCATTTGTCCAGATATAGTTTGGGAGTATAAGCGGTGTGACGATATATCAAATGTGAAAAGATGGAAAATGAGACACTGGGATACGTTTGTGATAAAACGAGATGGCGATTAAATGAAACGACTGACTATCTATTGTGGTTTTACTTTAGATAAACCAGGGACATTATAAATCGAGGGTTTACTCCATATATAAAAGACGGCGCTTTACCGAAGTTTTACTGTATATACTTGAGTACACGAGGGGAGTCATATCGAGGTTTTATTGTAGATAAACGAGGCCAGGGGCATTATATCGAGGTTTTACAGTTTAACAAGGGACATCATATCTAGTTTTACTGTATGTAAACATTACAAGGGACATTATATCGAGGTTAACTGTATATATATATAAACGAGGGACATTATTTCCAGATTTTACTGTATATATAAGCAATGGACATTATATCGGGGTTTTACTTCAGTTTTCGAGGGACATTATATCGAGGTTTTACTGTATATAAACGAGGGACATTATTTCGAGGTTTTATGTAATTAATCAAGACAGATATAGGTAGAGTTCCCTGTAGGTGTCTCTGAACGTCAATCTGCACAAGACACGAACAGCAAGGTTTAAATTAATTGTAAAAAACACGTCTTTAGTCATAGTTGGCCAATATTCATTGTATACCTAAAGGTGAAATAGTGACTCAAGCCGTCAGCTATTTTATCACATTTCGACAAAAGGTTTTGTCAAATTCGATACGATCAATTATATAAATCCGAGTGTTTAATTTAAAAGGCGAGTTTTGATCAGGAGCGGACTGCTTCCATTGACGGCCTGTAACTCCTGAAACCGTATACCCGTCAACTATTACACCTATTTGTAATGTTCTTTATGAGGCACAGATCGACAGCTTTAACGCTAGATTGGGTTTCTGACTTCTGTAAATTAATTTTTGGTGGCTCCGAGAGCGTCGTTCGATAAAAAGTCATGTTAAAAACAGATACAGATCTAATTTGGTTGTTTGTTTTTTAGTAAAGCCCGCGTTCTGCTCCCTATCTTTCTCCAAAGTCCACTATACCCCTCCCTGGTGGGGTCATTGGGTAGAACACCACGGCCCCCTACCTCTCTCCTTTTAAATAATATGTCATTGCAACACTCTTAACAAGTTATAAATCACTCTTGTAGGCGCGAATGTTAGCGCGCGAAGGGGGGNGAAAACCCGCGTACTCTTTCTCTCATTTTCTGTCTTATAAGCTCCCCACTCCTGCCGGGTAAGACAACATGTCTCCATTCCTCTATTCTTCGCTAGCTCTGCCCAAACTGTGGGTTCTTCTTGTTTTGAAATTGAGAATTTGTGAAATATTTTGAAAAATCCCGCACATTTTCTTATACATATATATGTATATAGCAATGTCTTTCCTTGAAAGACCAATGAATTCTGCATGAACATGTCTATATGCCTGAGTTAGAACCCAGCGCGCTAGCATCCGGGCTATCAAGGGTGATTAATATAAGTTGAAATAACTTGTTTCATAATTGTTGTAAAATAAATAAAGTTAAGATATTTACGTGCCTGTGTTAGTCATTGACCGGAACCATGCGTTTACAAGAAGGATCTTGTAAACAAATCTTGCGGGTTACGTCATATTTATTTTTGATATTTTGTTTAAATATTGTTTAACTGTTGTCAAGATATTTCTTATTTTTACTAGCAGTTAAGAATAAGACTTTCTATTCCATTGGTCTTTCACAGACTGATAAATCTAGGAATGTTCAACAGAATTGATCAATTTCCTCTCGATTATCGTGTTGACGTTATACGCTTATGTTTTAAATCTGTAGGAAAAAATATTTGTTTTCAAATGCAAGATATTTTTACGTTTGTGATGTAACTTCTCTCGGTACGCAGTGCGACTTATACGACGCTTTCCCAGTTCTGTCAAACACGTAATCAGTATTGAATACCATATTGACCATCACGGTTTCGATGGAAGAATGTAAATTGTGTGATGTACTAAATCCACTATTGCACTCTTCTGAACGCACTATGGTATCATAGATCTGCACTGAGAAGGAGCAGTGTAGTCTAAGGTAATGATGGGTAAAACAATAAATTTTATTCTAATTAGATCTTCCTTCTAACATGTATCTAAGCAAGCGAAGTTTTAAGAGATCAACGAAGATACCTAGATATAATACAAAAGCGTACCCGATTATTTATGTCCAATTATATTTGATCTCGTACGCCAAGTAGACGGAACTGTGTCTAAAGGGGACGGAATGTATAAGTAAGTTGACAGAAATAAACTGTTTAATTATTAAATATCCATGATTTGACACACAAGAGACACAATACAGATGGCACTGTGAGATCAAAGCAATTTGTTCAAACAAATTCAGAAAAAATACATTAATATTTAACGGGATGTACGTGGTGTCGCACTCCCATAAAAAGTACAGATATTGAAATAAGATCACACGAGTTATTTCCCTTGAAGTCGCGCCGGAACGATCAAAATGATCTTATTTCCTATTAACTTATTTACCAAAAATCCGCCAAATGACATACACAATAAATTACACTATATATATACTGTAGATATTTTAATGCGACCATAAATGAACAAGATCAGTAAAGTTTTTAACGATAAATACAACAGCCATCCCGCAGAATTCTTCGTAAGACCACTTGACGGTATCATGATGCACAGCGTTAGAACCAGTCAGGGACTGACCGTTACAAAAACAAAAAAATAAATAATCAAGGCGCACCGAATCGAACATTTAATTGATGGCATCCATAAAAAAGCTCAATTGCATAATCCACCGTAGCAAGCTTTTCCAATACTGGCAATAAATCTGTAAGAAAATGATAACTTTTGAAAAATGACGTATTTTAGCAATTGGTGACTGTTGATTTATAATATTAATTAGAACGATGAATCAATTGGATGTTTAAGTAAGACGATTAGGAGGGTTTTGGGAAGGGGAGCGCATATTTTGAGCATATGACGTGGATCTAATGCAGGTTTGTAGACAAATCAAATTATGAGTTTGTAATAGGAACATTGTACCTTACATTTTGATGATGTATGCGATTTTACTTTAAAATTCTGCCACACCCAGCTTCTCCGCTTTCAGATCAATAAAATGCAAAACTATTCTTTATTACTTTCAAAAACAGCTTGTTAAACCTGACTACTAATTTTCTGTCTGACAGACTACATACCTAGGCCTAGGGAGGAACAGGGTACCAGAGGTTGATCTGACGCTGGATGCACAGTGGGAACAGAACCATATGCTTCTCCTCAAATCGATCACAGAATCTCCTCTGCCAGTACAGGTCGTCCTGTGGCAGCTCCTTGGTCAACTGGACAGACAATTCCAGTCCATAGCTGAACAGCATCATTGCCTTTGACCGCTCCGCGGAATTGGCCTTGTCCTTCTTGCGAGGCCCGGATGGCATCCATAGGCATTTTCGTTTGACCTGACACGGGACAGTTCCGCAGTGACGGCAGAGGGACGGGCCTGTACATATACATATTTATGTAAAATTACGAGAATATAAGTACATAATTCCAATTCATAAAAATCTACGATAGTCTGAAAAACACCAGTCCAAAGAATACCGTCATAACCTGGATTTTCAAACTACTCGGTAAGATAAAACGAAAATAATCTGTCCATCATGAATATCAGATATGTAATTCATTGAATTAACTTGATCAACAGCTATAGCGAATAATAGAGGATTATTTTAATTTGCAATAAAGTGATTTGACTGTGAATGTTTTTTTAGATAGCAAAAAAAAGGTGTAAAATTATAATCAACCAGAAAATGTATTCAGAAGAAAAACATTTCTTACTAGCTCTCCATCCTTGGAACATTGACACCATGGCTGACCATTTCTCTCTGGCGATGTGTCCAATAGACGGCACATAGCCCAACAGCAGGGCTAGAAGCTTACTTAGTAGGATACAGAATACTTCATTTCCAATTCGCTAAAATAAATTAAATCATAATTAGTGACTGGGGTGTTGCACTGACATAAAATATTCCGGACTCGCGAGTTTCAGACGCTAGATTGACTAAAGCGATCATAAATGGAGGATATGATATACATGTACTTACCCGTGTGGGATAAGCAGGCGTTACGCATACTTTTTCAATTCCAGATACGGTGAAATAATGGAACAATTTTTGGGCATATCTTGGCTCAGGCTCCACGCTAGAAAAAAAAGACATATGATTAAGTGTTTCTAGATTTTCAATGACACTCAAAAACGAAAACCAGAATTGTCATTGGCATTGAAATAAACTCTGTGTGTTGTCCTTTTGAAATGTTACAAAACTGTCCAAACTTACCACGTAAGGTCCCGATATGCAGCAGGACCTTGATGCACAGCACACAGCATTACCACAAATATCAAGAATAACCTGATATTCATTGTGGTAATCCAAGAATTAAACTAGAAATTAAAAATTAGGCGAGAGACTGATCATCTCCGACTTACACATTGCTAGGCAGCTTAGCAACAAGGCTATGTCGTCACAAATGGCTTCATTAGTTCATCATCATGACGTCATACAATTGTTTGTCACCGTTCACTGAGGACGGTGTTTCATTTTTCGGTATATTCTGTATTATTTAATGTTTCCTACTCAAACTTTTGATCGGACTGAGGGTTTGTCAAACTGCTACCCAGATTTAAACATTGACAAATCTACGTTTAGTTTGTCTTCGTCATCTCACTCATTAACACGTGCCCAACTGGAGCTATCGCATTATAATACCCTGGCTAAAAAGAGAACTTTTCCTCAAATGGAACAATAAGACAAAAGTGGGTATGGTCTAGATTTCGTGCCATTATATTCGTCTGCTTCACTCTCTCAGAACTCAGATGTGTTGCCTCCAGCTAATTTTTCTAGAGAGGTTCCGAATAAGAGAATTATGACCAGGGAAACTCGAGCGCGTGATGGAAACATGATGTCTTAATCCCCGTCATTTTATCGATATAATTCTATCAGAAACGCTGTTATATAGATGAAGTATAATAATTCGTACTAATTATATATATAAGGTGTAGGAATATTCATTTTCGTAGTGCCATTGGGATGCATACGACATGGTATGTACATCATTTTATTGACAGATAATGATCAAAATTCGTTACCACATCTTCGTCGTAAACTCTTTAGAGTCCTTCAGAGCAAGTTGGCCATTTCTAAATGTACGTTGAATTTCGTGTCAAGTCAGTTGATACTCTCGGTAACAGTATTAGATATACAACAGGCCCTATGTTAATAATACATAGCTATACTCCTTCTCCAGCACACTCCAGTCTGTGTCTCCATGCTCTATTCTTCAGACCTCAAAAGTTTCGAGTGACCTTTATGAGATCATGCGCTGTGTTTTTGACAGCGATAACATTTACAAGAAGCTTTACATACTGTCGATGGACATCTACAAAATGCACGTTCGCAATTTCATCGTGTACATTGTAGTCGACGGGAGATAACTCGCATAAACTGCAATTCCTGTCGTTTGCATGATCTAGATATTTGGCTGCAATGTATACCGATCAAGGTAAAATAGCTTATACACTTTACCGCGTTCATTTGTGCTCGACTCGATGTTTTTTTGTGTGCCAAAAATGAAAACCTCTACCTTAACACCAGCATTTGTTCGGTATTACTCACAAGTCTTCAGTAGATGTCACCAATCATTAATAATAAATACGTGAAGTAGTTCAAGAGAGTACATTACACCCGTAACAGTTAAAACAGGTTAATGTTACCAGAAATTCACAGTGTTGTAACCTAAATAGGTCTCTGTAATTTTTGAAAAACTTCCACATACATTTTTCACACTTGATAAATTCAACTTTGCGTTATTTGTACCTGCTTCGGTTCATGATATCGGGATACCCGGTGTGATTTTGTTATGTTAAGTTAACATAAGGTTACAAAAATCAGCTATTATGTAAATTGTCAAAAACATTGTGATTCCATTATTATTTAGTGTATCCTCCACGGGCTCTGATCACAGCCTGTATACGGTCAGGCATACTCCTAACCATCCTAGCAGGTATTCCATCCCATGCAAGCTGTAAGACAGCTTCAAGTTCCTTTAGGTTTCTGCTCTTGTGTCGGCGAACTTCAAAACCCAGACCTCTCCACAAGTTTTCTATCGGTTCAAGTCGGGCGACTGTGAAGACAGAATATTGTTGTCCTCCTTCCATTAGTTCACTATTCGTGTCCGGTGGCATGGGCACCGTCATCCTGGAAGAAATAGTTGTTTCCATAGCCTAGCAGATGTGCTGATGGTACCGCGCTGTTTTCTTAAATATCAATGGTTCCGTTCAGATTTCCTTTCAAAGGAGTGAGGTATCCAGTCCCTCTGTGCGACATTGCACCCCAAACAGTCACACCACCACCACCACCAAACTTAACTGTAAGCGCTACACAGTCTTGCCGAAATTGTTCATGTGCCCTTCTTCTCACAGACGTCTTGCCATCTGTTTGGAAAATGGTGAACCAAGACTCGTCAGTCCATAAAACAGTCGACCCATGTCCAATTTGCATGGTTCTGTGCAAATGTCAATCTTTTTCGACGATGGGTAGCAGTCAAAAGAGGTTTTTTGACAGCAACACAACCTTTCAATATCGCATTGTGTAATCGTCTCCTCACTGGGGTATTCGACGCCACCACACCATTTTGATCCACTCCGTTCGAAGCTCAGGAACGATATCCTTACGATTTCTGAGACTGGCCCGGACTAATAATCTATCATCCCGAGGGGTAGAAATCCGTGGCCGGCCAGAACGTTCCCGATCCTCATAGTTCCCGGTATCTTGGAACCGTTTAATGGCCCTGTATACGTTCTGTCTGCAGCAAAAGAGAAACAGTAAAACAACAATAGACAGGTTCTGGATAAGAAAAGTATGCAAATGCACCAAAATCCGCGATGAAAACATTCACTTACCTACTGGTTCCAAGAATTCTTGCAGTCTGGGCGGCAGCAACACCATTGCGATGGTTAAAAAACACACTGGAATCGTTCTTCTCTTGTCATTAGCTGCATTTCTTCTCATGAGTATTTGCGAACTGATTGAATAGTACAACTATACTTAAGAGATTACAAATAATAAGTGAATGGTGAATAGTAATGTATTTTGTCATTTCAAATTAGATTAGAATTAAATACCGAGTACATTTAAGTAAATCTAACAATTCTCAAACATCCGATAGATTTATGTAAAATGTGAAATAACAGAATTGTTTGACAAAACCCTTTTTGTGATTCAATTTGGATAGTCAATGATGGCAAATCATCTTAATCACATTATTAATAGAAATACATTTAAAGAAATGAATTCTTTCAATAGTTTTTGTCAAAGAGAATTTATCAGCAAAATCTAAAATATGTAACGGAACTTTTGGAAGGCAGTGTACATGTATACGCAAGATATACAGATAACATTGCAACAGACGTACAGACAGACACGCCACAGACAAATGGACAGTCATACAAGACGTACAGACAGACACGTCACAGACAAATGGACAGTCATACAACAGACGTACAAACAGACACGCCACAGACAAATGGACTGTCATACAAGACGTACAGACAGACACGCCACACACAAATGGACAGTCATACAACAGACATACAGACAGACACGCCACAGACAAAAGGACAGTCATACAAGACGTACAGACAGACACGCCACACACAAATGGACAGTCATACAACAGACATACAGACAGACACGCCACAGACAAATGAACAGTCATACAACAGACGGACAGACAGACCCACCACAGACAAATGGCCAGTTATACAACAGACGTACAGATAGACACACTACAGACAAATGGACAGTCATACAACAGCCGGACAAACAGCCCCGCCACAGACAAATGGACAGTCATATAACAGACGTACAGAAAGACACACCGCAGACAAATTGACAGTCATACAACAGACGGACAGACAGGCACACCACAGACAAATGGACAGTTATACAACAGATGTACAGATAGACACACTACAGACAAATGGACAGTTATACAACAGACGTACGGATAGACACACTACAGACAAATGGACAGTCATACAACCGACGTACAGACAGACACGCCACAGACAAATGGACAAACATACAACAGACGTACAGACAGACACGTCACAGACAAAGGGACAATCATACAACAGACGTACAAACAGACACGCCTCAGACAAATGGAGAGTCATACAACAGACGAACAGACAGACACGCCACAGACAAATGAACAGTCATACAACAGACGGACAGACAGACCCACCACAGACAAATGGCCAGTTATACAACAGACGTACAGATAGACACACCACAGACAAATGGACAGCCATACAACAGACGTACAGACAGACAAGCCACAGACAAATGGACAGTCATACAAGACGTACAGACAGACACGCCACAGAAAAATGGACAGACATACAACAGACGTACGGACAGACAGACCCGCCACAGACAAATGGACAGTCATACAACAGACGTACAGAAAGACACACCGCAGACAAATGGACAGTCATACAACAGACGGACAGACAGACACACCACAGACAAATGGACAGTTATACAACAGACGTACAGATAGACACACTACAGACAAATGGACAGTCATACAACAGACGTACAGACAGACACGCCACAGACAAAAGGACAGTCATATAACAGACGTACAGACAGACACGCCACAGACAAATGAACAGTCATACAACAGACGTACAGACAGACACGCCACAGACAAAGGGACAGTAATACAACAGACGTACAAACAGACAAGCCACAGACAAATGGACAGTCATACAACAGACGGACAGACAGACACACCACAGACAAATGGACAGTTATACAACAGATGTACAGATAGACACACTACAGACAAATGGACAGTCAAACAACAGACGTACAGACAGACACGCCACAGACAAATGGACAGTTATACAACAGACGTACAGACAGACACGCCACAGACAAATGGACAGTAATACAACAGACGTACAAACAGACAAGCCACAGACAAATGTACAGTCATACAACAGACGGACAGACAGACCCGCCACAGACAAATGGACATGTCGACCCACGAAATGATAGTTATGTGACTGCCATATTATGTGACGTTTTTTTCTGAAAATTGTGTGACTATATAACTGGTTCTAACGAATTGACAGTCATGTGACTATAATGTCCAAAAGCTATGTGACACTGTTAATTTGTCCACAATTTATGTGACTCTTTCAATGTCCCTAACTTGTGTGACAATATGTCCACAATTTATGTGACCTTTTTAATGTCCGTAACTTGTGTGACAATATGTCCACAATTTATGTGACTTTTTCCATGTCCGTAACTTGTGTGACACTTTGTCCACAATTAATGTGACTTTTTCCATGTCCGTTACTTGTGTGACACTTTGTCCACAATTAATTTGACTGTTGCAATGTCCGTAACTTGTGTGACAATATGTCAACAATTTATGCGACTTTTGCAATGTCCGTAACTTGTGTGAC